TTCCGTCACTGCGCCGGGCCTTCTTCCGGTGCCGACGACAGTCTCTCGGACGACGATGGCGATGATGACGATATAAATGGCAACAGCGACCCCGACTAGAAGGTAGTGACCTGCTTCACACCCTGGTATCCTTGGTCTAGTACGCTCATTTACTTCTGCGACCTGTTGTTATTCGTCAGTCTACCAGCAAATAGCTATATCGTTCGCCTTGCAGCCTGCCTTGATTTGTTCTGGATTTGTCTTATCATATCCAGAGTTATCGGCCCTCGGTTGGGAGAACATGTCTACAGATCTTCCACTAGCACCTGTCAATTTTAATGGTGGATTTGGTTCGGCATTGGTTATTGTTCCAACGGAGTTCTTATGTTTGCATTAGGTTGGAGGGTTTGGGTTCCCAAAAAAAAAGCTCTTCCATGAATTTTATGATATGTTTAAAAATGGACTTCCTGTCGGAATGGGTTGATGATGAGGTTGTTTTTCAGACTGGGGATGGTATGGAACAGGTCACTGCTGAAAAGCTGCCGGGCTCGTTGCCCCTACGTCGTGTAGATAGATAGTTTTAGAATCTACAATTTGCAGATGCTCACAAGTTCATATTATCTCTTTGCGCATATTTTATCCAATTTAATCTTAATTCAAATTAATTGACGCTAGAATATATATAAATCTCGCATAGGTCCGACAGGTTGCTTCTATGTAAACACTATCGAACGCCATCTCTTGCAAGGCGTTATGTGATATGTCTCATGACTCCCTGCATATATGGCATGACCATATTCCCACAAGTTTGTTTCATAGACTGGTTTGAATGGTATGTCTCGGATAGTATATGAAGTCTTAATTACGGTCCACGGGGAAAGATACCAAGTATATACATATGTACTGGATAATGCCTGGCACTCCAGACCTTTCCCTTTCCGTTTTAGTGCTCACCTCTTGCCGTTTTTTGATCACTTCCGCCAGTCTGCTCCTCCAGCAACCTCGCCTAGAGTCTGACCGGAAATTGGGCTTTCGTTTCGCGATTCTCCTGGCGGGGTCGGCGCCGTTGGTTTATCAAATGCAGCACTATTCTCCAAAACTAGTAAGTAATTCTACCAACCTCTTCGAGCCGACTGATCACTGAGCGTTGGAAATATAAGGTAGGACCCTTCTTCGACCAATTGTCGAAGTCATAGGCTATATATAATATCCTTTTGTGGCATCAAAAAAGGGCTGCCGACACTACTGAAACGCGCTACCAAAAAAACACTAAAAGGACATATATCTACGAGTTAACCAAAACCTGGGTGAATTTAGTTTGGCTATGTCGCGGTAGATTATATAAATTGCTTTACTAAAATGTTTCCTTAGCAAAAATATACCACGTAGTTGTAGCTGAATACACGCCACTATCAAAGAGGACTACCCCTTATATATATTGGTATCTCTTTTCCAGAGCCGAGACGTTTTGTGATACGCCGATTAATGGACCGAAATTGGCCTCATGGATTCGACCAAAGTTGTGACTATACCAGTCCACTGCTTGTTTATCCGGACATATATCGAGGATATCATTGTCAACCTCTAGGTACCCTGTCATCAGAGATACCTAAGACCTCAGTGATTCGCCCCACGTAGAAAAACCAGCGTCTGCTTCTTCTTCGATCGCAGCCTTAACAAAGCCTTCCACTAGTGCCTGTGCCAGTGGATAGTACAGACTACCATAACTTTGAAACCGCGTTATCTGCGCTGTATCTCCTGTTCTAGTCGAAGAGTGGGGTGTTGGGCGGCCACTTCCGAAGTATCACAGAACTTTTATCCTCGTATTGAGGGTGACTTTTCACATCATCCAAGTCAAAATCCCACGCCTTTGCCATCCTACTATCTGGCCGATATGGGTAAAAACATTCCCATTTCAAGATAATCTGGTCGGCCTTGTTCTGGAGATAGAAGGTAAACTGGCGATGGCTCTCCACCTCAATTTTCACGTTCTTTAAACGGGGCATACGCTGGGCCGCATAGCCAAGCGATATGAGAAGTCGATGGAAATGTTCTTCAGTCGGTAATTCCGGCCAGCCCCATCCTGCTTCGACATCGCATATTATTTCTTCCCAGTTTTCAATCTCATCGATTTCGCTTTGGTCTTCCGGTGTGTTATGATAAGTTGGTTCTCCTGTTTGATTTGTTTGTTATTAGACGTCTTAGATATATTTCAAATTTTTCTTTTGGTGCTTTCTTGTTCTAGGAGGGACCGATTTCTTACCTGAAGGAAGCCAAGGTGGTATACCCTTAAGTTCTAATACCTCTAGGTAGGGCCAGTTCAACTGTAAAGAGCCCAGTTTAGGCTGACCTTTTTCATCCAAAGGACACAAAAAGTCATATGCGATAGTGGTGTTCAACAACTTGAGTTGCTGAAGGTGAATACTAAGTTTTCGTAAATTAGAGCTCACACTATCAACACCAGAAGGGATGACATTGAGTGGGGACATAGCCGGCTTCCATGGGGCATCATCATGTCCCTGATAGAGTAGCACTCTTAGGCTCTTCGGAATAGAATCGAATAAAGAAGATAACGCTATATAACTATTAGTAAATAATATAAGTTCACAGCAAAAAGGATATAGCTCACCTTCGCGACGTGCCTGTATATACTCTAGGTGGTCTGGACGGACGAATTCCTCAAGATCTAGCTCTAATTCAACGATTTGGGTACAACGTTGAGTTATAGTCCGTATTGCGCCAGTCCAGATTTGATTACCGTTTAGAAAAGAGAGCTCCTCAATACACGGAAGAGATGGTAGATCTGACATATCTTTGAGGAACCGTGCTCTGTACAGGGGAATCGATAATATGCGCCCATCTCGATAATCCCAACGATAGTCAGCGGCGATTTCTGAGTGCTGAGTATGTGGTTCCGGTGCAAGACCTTGCCGACGACCTCGAATAGCCAGATTTAATTTTAGACGGGAATTTTGATCCCATGATTGAAGCTCTTGGAAAAGGCTAACCATAGCTTTCTGAAAAGCTACATCGTTGTCCTTCCGGATAGGGTTATCTTCACTATAATTTTCAGGACTCTCCCGGTCTTTGCGTGCGGTCCAATCTAAGATTTCGTAGGGGACAAGGATATTGTATTCAAGCTTTTGGATGTAGGTTTTCCGTATAGCATGGTCGCCGGATATGAGCTTTTGGAAATTTTGGAGAGAAATTCCACGTTGCCCCTCTTCTTTGTGTTTATCGTCACTATAGACAGCTAGGTTGGAGTAGATGAGGCGTTCAAAAGCCGCCTGCCATGAGCGACAAACACAAGTACATGGAACCAGAGAATGTCCATCAGTTTGCAGAAGAGTTGCGATCTGGAATAACAGTTCCAGGGGTAGTGTTGCCGTCATTATGCTGGCGAGGTGTCTCAACGGAACATGAACATGTGGAGCCAATTGGATTCTCTGGGGGCTACAGATAGGGAGCAAAAGGCAGAGAAAACTGCATGAATTGAGATCTCTGCAAAAAAAAAAAAGAGGACGAAGAGAGAGAGGTGGAGAAAGAGGAAGGGAGGAAGTGAGGCTGAGGCCAAACTAACTATCTGAACCTGTTTTTGGGGTCACCTGACCCCACAATAGGTCTAGTCCACTAGGATATGAACTGAATTGAGGAGAAAAGAAGAAGGAAAAAGAAAGAAGTTCCAATCAGAAGAAAGTGCTTATTGAACGCTTGCCCCCTTAGAGCCCTAAATCATTATGCTCCACCAAGCGTTACAAGATTGTTCAGCCAAGAGGATAAGGGATTTGAAGACTGTCTTGGCAATTTATTGGCATCTCTCGGATCAGACAGCAATAGGCGATGCTACAATATCACAATCTAGAGTCCCTACAGAGTACAAAGCGTGAGGTGTAATGTGTGTGTATACAAGTTGGAAGGATGGTGAGTGTCTGGGACCACGTTGGAGTAGAAAGACTATGCTCTAGGCTCCAAATTGGAGCACTGGAATTCGTTAGACATAAACATTTATCCACAAGACCTTCGCGTGATAAAGGCCCTTGTCTTTGTTAATATTACGTGTATAAGCTAACTTGTTATAAGGGGATCAGTATAGTTTTGTGGCTAGTCAATACACACTGCTCGTACCTGGAAAATTGTGGGACCCGCTTCTTCTCCCCTGAACATAAAATTGCCCATTATTATGCAACGGTATTGTACAATCCATAAAAAATCATTAAGTAGAATCTAGTTCAATCTTGACCTCACATGAATTTGGGTATTGCCGAGCATTCTGGTGGTAAATCAGCCTATGGGGCCATGGGGGCCGAAACAATACAGATTGTATTCTCGAAAGTCCAGATTTACCCAAAATTGGAACAATAACTGACCCTGATTGTAGTGTTGTGAAGCTTCCAGGGCTCGGTCGATATAAGACCGGGTTTGAATGACCCTGTACTTCTTCTACTTAGTGATTTTACTTTGGTGAGAACGAACTAACCTCGCCATGACGAATATTAAGTTGTTATAGGATTCGTTATAATTAGCATTAAACAAATCAAAGCACCTTATTGACTAAGCCGATACCTAGATAGTATAAGGCGGTAAATTAGGGAGCTAGGCAAGCTAATTATATATAAAGAGAAACCAGTGGCTTTACACGCTAGACAAAAGTAGAGTTAGTAAACCAATGAATTATAATTGCTTTTCGGCCAAAACTTTGGAAATGGACCTCCGTAGTAGCCGAAGCCGATTCAATTCCACATTAGACTAGGCTCGTAATATTCTGGTGGACGGTATGTACCTACCTAGGTAGGTAGTATGAATCCAAGCCGAATAGGGAAGAGAGTGGGTTCAGGGAAATACCTTTCCGACTATGACTGTGTACAATGATCTATCATCGCAGAGGTTAAAGATGAAGGCGCGTTTGAATTGTTACTGAGCAAGCCTCGCTCTTTATCCAGCAAGCTAGTGGCACCAATCACCGACCCCGAGAGAATTTGGATTCTTCAAGCGTCTCTGGAGGTTATCGTCAAAGGAGCTCGATGCAGTAGGCGTATCCGGCCCACAGACCACTACAGTCTCCACCAAGGGCTGGGTTCAGTTGGTACAGCAAAGATATCCTCGCTGTGCCCCAATCCAGCGACGGGTATGGTGCTTTCAACATCAACAAGTGTTATATCACAGACTGCGACCAAAGATACAAGGTCGGTGATAACTCAACGACCAGACTCAATGAAGACTCTAGTGGCCGTGGATGTGGGGGTAAAAACCACAATGCTCGGAATTGTATGCTATCGCGAACGATTCTCTTCAAACAGCCAAGCTAACGAATATAATTTTCACAGTCTGCTGCCCCGCTAGAAATGCCCCTGTGACGGACACCTGCTACTGGACAGGCGGCCCCAAAAATTGCCATGGCCAGTGTGCTGCCGGAGAGGTCGGCATGGTTTTGGATGACTACGGTGACAGCGGAAAGCGTTGTACTAATGGAGGAAAGAAAGTTTGTAAGTCTCGCAGCTCAGTCGGAGCAAGGAAATATATAGTATTGACGGTATTTCAGGGTGCTGTCCAGCAACAAATGGCCAGGCAGCTATCCAGAAGTGCGCTCTCACCAAGTACAACAAGCAATGCCCCAGCGATCTCCCCCAGGAAATGACTACAGTCGGCTCTTGGAGACGTGACCTTGATGAAGTGGGCTATCTAATTGAACAGAAGTTCTGCTATCCAGCAAAGCCGGTACGAAGAAGCAAATGAGCCTCATTCATGATATCGAGACAAACCGATAACACTTTGTATAGGACTACGATCTCGATCAGTGTGGATGGTACGGGGAAAACAAATACTGCAATGACAACGAATGTCCCTTGGTCGATGTTTGACTTACCCCAAATACTGTTAGCCTGCGAAATTAACGAACTAGTAGGGCGAGGTTGAGCTCTTCAGGTGGAATGGTTGGCATGAAGGCCTTAAGGCTGGGTATCATGGCTGCAACAAGGGTCGTAGACATGCGTTCTGCTGTCCCCCACCTCTGAGTGATGGATCTGCATTTCTTCCAGTTCCCCTAGAAAACCTTTTTCCTTCGGCAGGTTCATTCCTCGACAGCTATGCCACCACTTTTGCTCAAGACTTTGACACGTCGGCCGATGAGACATTCGGTGACTATCGTGGAAATGACCCCAATATCAACGCCTTCGCTTGGATCGTCGTGGTGGGAGAACCCGAGGACGTTCAGAGTTTCGATAAAAGAGATGGCTCTCACCTAGAGCTCTTCGACTGCCCTGATACCGAAGCGGACGACTTCAGCATTCAAAAGCTTAGGGCCGCATATGTGGGTGGAAAGGACAATGAGATTAACTGTTCGGATATCCTTCTTTCATAGACTGAATGGCTGATAAATGATCTACATGTCGGTCAATTAACTAAATAGTTAGCTGGACTGTTCGATCTCTGCCTTTACTTCCAAACCGAAAAGTGAGCAGACCACGAGCCAACACTGAGTGGGATACAAACTGGAGAGGCCCTTAATAAGATCAATGATTTGGCAAACAGCCACATCTGCTAGGGCAATTAGTGCATCAGTGATATAATTAGAGACATTGAAACGGTGCAGACCGCAACTTACGGACACCAAGATGGTGAGCCCGAGCTATCTTTGTGAAAGTCGGAGTACTATGCTGCCTAGAGGGACTACCAGGCCTGGAGAGCAAATGAAATTGCAACGTAGATTCAGCTCAATATCCTACATGTGCATTGAAGGGCAGAAATTACTTGCATATGAGGTCAAGTGTGAATGACAATATCCACTCCCATTTACTCCTCTTCGATCTCTCCTTCCTCGCTGCCGGAGTGAATGGCCTTCTCATCCTTCTTCACGTCCTCGGGTTCTTCTTCCGGAATAGCAGAGCGTTCCCGTCGAGGGGCTCGGGGACCCTTGCTGCGCTCTCGCTCACGGCTATCACGTCGGTACCGCTTGGCAGATCGGCTAGCCACACTCTCGGTATCACTGTCACGTCGGCGTCGACGGTCACCACTGGCCACGCTGCGAGTGTCACCAGCGCCACTGGTACCACCACCATAATCAAGCTCATCACGGCCTCCACGAGGATCACCACGAGTGCGGTACAAACGCTCGCGCTCGTCTTCACGTCGATCTGGGTCTCTAGTGCGGGGACGGTCAAAGTCACGGTCCCGGCTACGATAACGGTCTCCACGCTCATCGCGACGGTCACGAGATGGGGAGATACCGCTGACTTTGCGGTAAGTTCGTTCGCGGTCGGCCTGTGCCTTGCGGCGGTCTGCTTCGTATGCATCCATTTCCGGGGTGCGGTTGGCCTGGCCGCTGGGTCCTCGTCGTTCTCCTCGTCCACTGCGGTAGTCACGATCACCGCGGTCATAGTCCCGCCGACTTGTACGGTTTTGGGAGTATGCTTCACGGTCCTTCTCTGCATCCTCATCTCTTTCTTTCAAGCGGCGAATTGCTTTTTCAAAGGCAGACTCCCGGAGCTCATCGGAATCCAGGGCCTTGAATTCTTCGTATTTCTCAAGGCGAGGCTGGACTTCGGCCCAGGTGTCGGTAACCCGGACAGGCGGCTCCAGGCGCTTGATGCGAGAGCGCAGTGCGTCCACGGCGCGGCGCTGTTGACGATCGGCGGCATGCTTCTCATCTTCCGTGCGTCGGATTGCCTTTTCTTGGATACGCTGGAAGATGAGGTTGAGGATCTCAGAGTCGATCTTGGATGTGCGGCGGTCGGCGGACATGATAGAATTGAATTCATCAAATGTCGTTTCAGTCGTGACTTCATAGCGTTTATCCTGGAATTAGTTCGTTAGTATAGATAGTCAACGATTCTTTTCAATCTGGAGAAACTTACATCCAGAACGTCGAGAACGTCGTTCCGAGGTCCACGCAAGGCGCGCTCTTCTTCTTCCACCATATCCCAGAACAAATCAAGAGGGGTCGAACCAGGCTGGCCCAGGATGCCATGGTACCTGGGGTCATCCTTGATGAGCGGGCAGATATTCTTCCACTTGGCGCCCGCCTTGATCTTACCTTGAGATCTGAGCTCCTTGAGGAGGGCCACAAACTGCTCTCGGTTCTTGCGCTCTTTTCTAGCTCTAGCCGCCTTGTGCTGCTGGCGAGCATCGTTGAAGGCCCGTTCAAGGGACTTGATATGATTTTCGAAGGCAGTCAGAATGTCGCACTTGGTTAGACTCTTAAACTTGTCATCGCCTTGGAACTTGCTGTTGGACTGAATGATAGCCTGAGCCTCGGACCAACGCGTGTATGGTTCCAGGTTGAGTGAGCCCAGAATGTTCATCAGCTCATCCATAGCGGCTTTGTGCGTAATAGATTCTTGCTCGACGTGAGCCTTTTTAAGTTCAAGGATGTACTCTTCGAAAAGATGGCGTCTCTCGTCTTCGTCATTGGTAGACCTAAATGTGGTCTCCCCCTCAATGATTGGACGAATCGTCTTCCACCGGCTGTAATATTTGATTTCAGGGTGCCGCTTTAGCATAGTGTTGAAATCTGCACGAAGCTTGGCGAATCTTTCTTTGGCCCGGTCCTTTTCCTGCATGCGAACCTCGACCACATATTTCTCGAATGCTGCCTTGCGGTCTCGAGGGTCCTTGAGAGCCCGATATTGCGGGTCTTTGATCGTAGCGCGCATTGTATCTTCCCAAGTCCAATCAGGCTGCACGTTGTGGCGTTTGAGCAGCTTCATGAAAGCGCTCTCCGCCTCCTCAAGAGAATGATAGTCAGGATCCATCTGCGACTTGTATTCTGGAGCAGCAGCCATGCCGCTAGGTTCATATGAGCCGTATCCACCGCGTCGGTCGCCGTATCCCCGGTCACCGCGGTCACCTCGGTCAAAGTCTTCACGGTCACGTTGCTGGGGTTGCGAGAAAGAGGTCCCGCCAGCCACAAATGAAGGCGCACTATAATGAGATTAGCATTGAGGGAAGTCAATTCGGGAGGGTACTTACGCGGGGGCCGCCTGGGGGGGCAGGCGCTTGTGCAAGAGCATCTTTGTAAACTGCAGGCATCTCCCATGTGCTCTGCTTGGTTTCTGCGTGATACCAATATTTGCGCCCAGCGTCTGTAGTATGTTCCTTCCATGGCTGGTTTGCGAGAGCAAGCTGAAAATAAGTTAGTTAAGCTCGTAACATCTTGCTGTCAATTACAAACCTCAACCGGAGTCATCAACTCTTTAGGCTTGGTCCATTGTGTCGCTTTGGTCTGTACATTGTAATAATAAACGCGACCATCAGCATTTCGCGCCTCTTGCCATAGGGCAGAAGCTTGGTTGCCACTTAGATCCATTGTGTGAGCTGCTGAAGATACTTGAAAAGAGAAGTGAAAACGGAGCTTCATTAATGATCTCCGCGGTTATGCGCTTTTGGCACTTCGCGTCGACCGTATCAACACTTATCGGTTATCTCCTGAGCTCCAAACATCCACTCTATTGACTCCTTTGCGACAACCATTGTTGCAATGCCTGGTCTGGAGATTCCAGGCGAATTCTTGCGTCATGCCATTCTTGATACAGTTGTGCCCCAGGCCCCGTCACTTGACATCGAGAGTGCCCTGAGCTCGGCTCTGGAGGACGGAGCTGATGATCTTCCCTCCGTTCTCTCGTCCATCCCTCAACGGTCATTATTATTCTTTGGTATGCACTTTCAAAGGTTTGGCAAGGTTTAGCCTCTTACTCATTGAAAGCCATCAGATGAATTTTTGCCTGTCCGTATCGTCTTGCGACTATCTGATTGCTCAGAAACGACCCTGAAACACAATCTGCCACGACTTGAAGTTAAGCTCGACGTCTTTGCCGTCGATCCAGCTGAATCAGTTGGTGAAAATACCACCCCAACCCGAGATATAATATTCTCGGGGATTGTCAGTGGAGAGGAGGATCCACTGGTAGTATTTAATGAATTTGAGGGCGATGAAGGCAGTGGGAATCATGTCTATTTGGTTTGGAACATCGAAACTATACTGCGTGGGTCATTGAATTCCTGGGCTGGCTATCATCAAACGGACATCACTAATTGATATATAGGACGTCCCCGTATTCGAATTCAACACCCGTCACTCCTATTCATTGCCTCGGCCAGTTTGAATCGCACTGACAGTCGACGTCAGGAAGATTCAGATGATGACTATCTCCCCTCACTCGTCCCGGCATCCACAAATATGCTACAATCTCTATCCACAGACAAAGCGTTCAACCATAAAGAGCCTTTCCTCCCTGCTTCCAGACTATTGAGGGTTGTGCCGACGACGTATAACGAGGACCCGATTTACAATATCCAGCAACAACATGGTCATCCCTTTCGTGTTGTGCCCGCCGCAAGTGCAAGAATTCGGTACTCTCGGCTGAGCTCCTACACTGGTATACCAATGACTGTAGCCAGTCTTGACTTTGAGGTCACCCCTTATCTGGCCTGTGAGGTTTCATTTGACAAAGCGGATCTCCAGCTCTCCGAGGGAACAATCGAGTCGCTGTCAGACACACCGGGCCTGACTCTTCCAATTTCTTGCCGTCCGCGAGATGATGTGACCCTCATGTATAAACTCACACCGAAGTATGGCCCAGAGACGAATCCATCATCTACCGCGTTGATCAGCACGCTAGACATCTCTCTCGAGGCAATGATTCATGTGGATGACGAATGCAACCCACGTATCTCTATGCAGTGGAGAACTAACGTCGATTTTTCTGTCGCTCTCAATCCGACTTATGGAGGGCCCAGTCCAGCGCTGCAAAGGACCAACCGCCCTACCAGCCTATCCGTGTCAACTCAAGTGGGTGTGGCCCCTTCCCATCGAAGCTCATTACGAGAACGAGCGTATTCGGTCACAGATGTGGGTATCACAATTTCCTTCTCAGGACCTGTTCGTGTACAAGTAGGCTCTGTCTTCAGTTGGCAGGTTTTTATTGTCAATCGATCAAATGTTCCGCGAAAGTTCGCCTTGATCGCCATCCCTAAACGGAAACGCGTGGATCCACGTGGGCATGTTGCTCGGCCTTCATCATCATCTATCACCAGCCGGAAAGAGGATCAAGTGGCCGAAGCCGTCACTGACGATAATATTGTGCATGCAAGACAAAAGAGTGTGGCTGGCCAGGAAGTGGAATTGATCAGCTTGAGCACTGATATTCGTGTGGGGTGAGTACTCTCCACTGTGTCTTTTCCCTTTGCTTTCCTGAACTGACATTTCTACTAGCCCTCTCCTTCCAGGAACTTGCCACTCAACCGAACTCAAGCTTCTTCCTCTGGCCACAGGCCCACTTCATTTGGAGGCAGTCCGACTTGTAGATGTGAACACGAACGAAACGACTGATATCCGAGATCTTCCGGACATTTTGGCGGATGATC